GGGCAAAAATTGACTGAGCTGTGTCCATTAGAAGCTACGCAACTCACAAAAGTAAGTTTTGAGAAAAAGCTAGTCAAAGATTTGGTACGTTCCAATACAAAATCACATAGCAACCAGGCCATTTATTTGCTGTTTTGTCGTTGAATATATCTTTCCATGAGTTTTCAGGGGTGCTGAAGACGAAAATCGTAGTAAAAATTTGATCAGGCTATTTCCGCAATTTATTTGCTATTTTGTCGTTTAATATGTTTTTTATTTAGGATTTCAAGGGTGCTGACGACGAAAATCGTAATAAATGCACTCCTTTCGTAACGAAACATCCACAACACATACGGCATAATATACGGCATAATATAATAGTGTTATACTGAAGAACAATCTATACATTAGTAGTCTGTTGTGTATATTATAACTTTGGTGGGATTAACTCAGTTAATCTCATCAATTAATTAGCACATTAGTGCCAGCTAGTGGTCAGGAGATTAAGAAGCCGCCACAGCTGTACGCGTGTTCATTTAACATGTGAAATAAAAAAAGATTGTGCGTGTACGATAGGTCTATTATTATTTTCAGGTACCTTGACGTTATCAAAATATGAGTCCCTATAGAAATGTCAATTTCATAGTCAAGAAATGCTTACGTTCACTTTCGTGCATTTTGGCTTTGATGTAAATATCAACATTATTCAGAGGTTACTCAATGGCAGATTTCAAGAATCGTCGCATTTCGGCTCGTTGGTTGTTCTCATTTTTTCGACCCATGGTGATAAGAGAATTTTAAACAATAATATCCAAGATGCATTCCTTACTTTGCATACCGTATAAAGAAGCGACAGTAATCGGAATTCAGCTATCAATAAAATTCTCTTCGAAAAGAAAATTATTGGCCATTTTGTTTATTCGGAGTAAATAATGAGTTGTCGACGGCTTTATCATTGACCCGTGACAGTTGATTAGTAATAGTATTACTCAATGACACACACTCGCTTGTCGATTAATTTACATAATCAGCCACGTGGTTTCGATTACACTCAACAGCAATCTATATACGATCACTTATCTGAGTGAATCGCATGTAGCTACGCATATGGATATGGGGAGTCAAATGTCTACAATGGGGGGGGGGGGGGTACATTTGGCGGGAAGTGAGTTCACGTTGATGATTTTCTTAGAGCTTGGTAAAAACATTATTTTTAATTCCACTGCACATCTCTAAATATGTGTATACGATTACCGTTGTATAGGGGAGGGTAAATGTATTTTGAGGGACAGAAATCACTTGGTTAAAAATTGAACTGAAAAGTGTTTTCTCGAGTTTTCGTTCAGTGCCAATATCGTCATTCAAAATATTAAATTATAATGGTACTTTTCGTGAGATCTGGAAATTTACATAAAAAACACATGTTTAGATATTAGTTTATTCCTATTATAAGTGCGGGATAGATATTCTCTTGATGGCTGATCAACAGCCTGCGTATATCCTTTGGATATGCTTCAGATTCCCATTCATCTTGTTCCATCATTAATTTTGCAACCTGTCTCCATATTGTTGCAACATAATTATTGCGTTTAATGTGCAGCAAAAGACTACTCGAGCAAGATGGTAATAAAGAAAGAAAGTTTTGTTATTTTTCATCACAATTAAAATTTCTCCAGAAGATCTTCCTTCTAGTGTCATCTACAAACAATTTTTTCTAAACCAGCAATTACGTCATCAGAAGCATCATTTGTCTATCCCAGCTCTTTAAAAATTGTTAGAAAGTTAGGATTATCTTGAAAAAGAAAGACAGATAGTCATTACCACTGAAAGCATGTACCATAGGCCGAGATATTCTCGACACTTTCAATACTAATTTTGATTGGATCAAAAAATATCAAGATTAGTATTGAAAGTGTCGAGAATATCCTAGAACTGACAACCTACCACAAGGACACCAAAATATCTTACCTACTCCTCTTCGCATTGCAAATTAATGGAGGTGCTGAAACAAATTGTATTTTGCATTCTTGCTCGGGCGAAATAGACATCCCAATCATTCTCTTCGCAAACGATGATCCAAATATACAAATTTTGATCGATAATGAGACGGGCAAAGGTAGAAAATATCGCAAAAGGTGACTTACATCACTAGATGACGCTAGAAAAAAGATTTTCTGGGTGATAAAATAACAGACCTTTCTTTATTACCACCTTGCCGTATACGTGGTCTTTTGCTGCACGACTGGAATGAAGATTTACAATGTGAATTGGTTCCTGAAGCATATCCAAAGGATATGCGAGCTGTTGGCCAGTAACCAAGAAAATATTTATCTCGCTCATATGAACTTTTGATTTTGAATCTTCTGATAAAGACTAATAAGAATAAACTAACAACTAAACATATCTCTGAGTTAATGTGTTTTTGATTTACATTTCCAGATCTCTTGAAAAGTATAATTATAATTTAATATTTTGAACGAAAACGCTAACGAGATACCACTTTAAGCTCAATTATGAACAAAATGAGTTCTGTCCACAAAACACATGTTGCCACCTGCCATCACCCGCACCGCCCCCTCCCCCCACGACGGGCACTCACCCCGGCGTCACCCCCATACAATAGGAATCTTATAAACATATTTAGAGATGTTTCATCAAGCTCTTAGAAAATCATCATTTAAATCAACGTGAATTCATTTCCTCGCCAATTTTATCCCCACCCCACCCCTCCACACGCGCACACCTGCTACCCCCACCCCACCTCCCCATAAACTAAAACAGTTGTCTAATTCACAGCTCGGGTGGCGATTCCCCCCCTTCAGCCACCGGACTATACAGATCAGATGATAACTTTTTTGTCCAGCAGTTTAGGTTTGATTTTTACGAAATACAAACTCATCAGACATTGCGGTGTAACAGTGATATATTCGAACTTTTTTTAGAATCGGATAATAATTGTGACCTCTAGAGGAACCACAAGCTAAAAACGCGATTTTTTTATACAATCAGGGGCCATACTTTTGTAATTAGACATAATTATCAGGGTTTTTTGTACAATCAGGGGTCATACAGATCAGATGATAACTTTTGTAATTAGACATATTTATTAGAAATTCAATGGGCTTTTCGTTTCACTGATGTAAAGGATGCATATAAACTTCATACAGGTTGGATGATAATTTTTGATGTTAGAGTGTTCACATGGTGCAATAAAGTTAAACAAGGGACTGAACTCCAGAAATTAAATAGGATTCTTCATCTCACTAATGTACACAACATATATCAATTTCAAGAAAATCAGATGATAAATGTAGTCAGTAGAGTGTTCACAAGAAATTGTGGACGACGGACGGACCGACAGCAATATACTACCACATTTCCATTTCAGTCCCTTTTGATATTTGAGCACTTCAGACCATAACTTTCTGGATTATGCCCCCTGACTGTACGAAAAATCCCTTTGGTTTTTAACTTGATCTTTATCCATCTCTTACAAAATGTGGGCGCATCTTGCCTGGCAATCGCTGGTTATACACCCACATTTTCTAAGAGATGGATAGAGGGGCGGCCATTTTGTCCGGCAGTTTTGGTCCAATTTTCACAAAATTCAAACTCAACCAACATTACAGTGTAACGTTGATATATTCAAACTTTTTTTAAATCTGATTATAATTATGACGCGATTTTTCGTACAATCAAGGGCCCAATAATTCAGAAAGTTATGATCCGATATGCGCGAATACTAAGATCTTAGGGTTATAAACATGTATTTCAAGTTTAATCAAAATCGGATCAAAATTGCTGAAATTCAATAGGCTTCTTCGTTTTACGAATTTAATTCATGCATATAAATTTCACAAAGATAGGGTGATAACTTTTGGCACTAGAGCGTTCACAAGGTTCTATGAAGTGAAAAGATAGGTTGCCAGGCAATGAGACATACGCCCACAGCAGCTATATCGTCCGGGCAGTCAACAAGAGTTGTCGCATATTTTTACTTTTTTCGGTAATGAAACATTTATAATACATTAAAATCTGATTAAGAGTAACAACTCATTAATTAATTATCAGAAAACCATTAGAATTTGTTTGGTTTTTATTTAGTTCTGCCCCATGCTAACGTTTAGTATACAAAACTTTTAATATCATGGATCTAGCTGTTCAAGTCATAAAGATTCATTGAACTCAATATACTTGTTCGTCTCAAGACCTTAAACACTGTGTATAAATTTAAAGTCAATCGGACATTAACTTTAGCCTCTAGAGCATCCACAATATTTTTCAAAGTGATCAAGGGCCATAACCGTAATTATCGGAAATCGCTGAAAATCAATAGGAATCTTCGTCTCATGACCTTAAACACTTTGTATCAATTTAAAGTCAATCGGATATTAACTTTAGCCTCTGGAGCGTCAACAAGATTTTTCAAAGTGATCAAGGGCCACAACTCTGGCAGTAATTATCGGAAATTGCTGAAAATCAATATGATTCTTCGTATCATGACCTTAAACACTGTGTATAAATTTAAAGTCAATCGGACATTAACTTTAGCCTCTAGAGCGTCCACAATATTTTTCAAAGTGATCAAGGGCCATAACTGTGGCCGTAATTATCGGAAATCGCTGAAAATTTATAGGCTTCTTCGTCTCATGACCTTAAACACTGTGTATTAATTTAAAGTCAATCAGATATTAACTTTAGTCTATACAGCATCCACAAGCAATTGTGAACGCCGGACAGGGCGACAACAATATACGACCACATTTATATGTGGGCGTATATAAAGGGACATAACTCTAGACGTAATGTACAGATATTAAATAGGCTTCTTCATCTCACTAATGTAAACCACATATCAATTTTAAAATAATCAGATAATAACTTTTTGAGTTAGAGCATTCACACCTACAAGTTTGATGTGTAGGTATATGTGTACAAAGTTTTATAAAGATTACTGGAAAGGTTAATGAGATATGCTTGGGATAATACTATAGACTAGGATTTGGAAATATTATATGTACCTTAGCAGTGTGAACAAAATCTGGATATAATCTGAAAGTCATCAATGGCTCAGGTAACTATGAATATATAAATGTAAAATAATAATTAATAACTCATCAAACATAATGGATAATATAACATATTACAACTTAATTTTCGAAAAATTTCATAGAAGAAATGTTGTTTAGGATACAAATTTACAATGCATAGATGGTGTGTGATAAAAAAACGCTACTATTTATAGGTGTAATATACTTAGCTTACATGTCGTAAATATTGTTTCAATACACTAGATAGAACATTTGGATGAATATCATCTAAATCCACAGTAGAAGCATCAAGTTCAAATCTTTGACATAAATTTTCAACTTTACTTTTTACTCCTGATACTCTGTATAAACCCTGAAATACATTTATAATCTTATTACATTATCACAACATATTGTATTAACCCTACAATATATACACAGAGAAAAAGAAAGACACACAAAGTAGAATCCGGAACATCATTCAGTTTGTATTTCATGACCTCAACACTTTACACCCACAATCTGTAAAAACCACCGTAGACTACATCACCTTAACAAGGTTTACAAAGGATTGGGGAATAACTTTGTAATGGAAGGTCACAGAATGCTGAATCAATAGATATTGTCATCTCATGACCCATATACCTAACACCCAAAAAATCAATTAAAAATTATAGCCTCCATTGCGTTAACAATGTTTGCTGAACAGGGGGTGGGGGGGGAGAGACACAGGAAAGGTAGGTCATTTTGGGATTAACATATTGTTTAATTTTATTTCAATAATTGGCTTGTGCGTAGGGGTCTTTAGCAGTGGGAGTACCTGGAGAAAACACAGGTTTGGTCGAGCGATCCTACTCCGTGTCATGTACAAGAGGCAATATCCCTGGAAACAGATATCGCAATATTTTCAGAAAATATTGTAGAGTGTTCACAATAAATTGTGGACGATGGAAGGACGGATGACAGCAATATACGACCACATTTCCATGTGATTGTATTAAGGTTGATGTGATACCCCGAGAATGGCGATATATCAGGATAATTAGGTCAGGCGATCAAATTTTTGTCTGAAATCTCAACAAGCCAACAGTGAGGCTGATGTCCCCGGCCGAAATCCCAAAATAAATAGATGACAAATATTAATTCATCGCACATTTATTTTTTCAAAAGTATCGAGCAATCAAACTATACACTAAGTTTCATCACTCTCTATCAGATAGAATCAAGATTATCTTGTCCCAAAGCATCGACCAATGAAATTGCTCTGCTTAGCTTCAATTAAAAGCATTGTTGTTATGTTCCAAAGTCTTGACCAATCAAATTGCTTATAGCTCCTTAGCCTAAGCAGAAAATTCTCACCATCAAACTCAGTCAAGGTAATGATATAATGAATCTATATTCAGAGTTTCATCGCTCTCACTTCATTATAACCAAAGTTATCGTGCCCCAAAGCATCAACCGATCAGATTGCTTATAGCTCAACCAATCGAATTGCTTATCTCTGCTTACCCTAAGCAGAAAATTCTCATCTTCAAACTCCATCAAGGCATTCAACTAATAGACACCTACACCAAGTGTGAACATTGTAACTCAATTAGAATGAGAGTTATTGTGTTCCAAAGTCTCAACCAATCAAATTGCTTATCGCTCTGCTTACCCTCAGCAGAAAATGTTCATTATCGAACTTAGTCAAGTTAGCCTAAGCAGAAAATTTTCACCATCAAACTTAGTCAAGGTAATGATATAATGAATCTATATTCGGAGTTTCATTGCTCTCCCTTAATTAGTACTAAAGTTATCGTGTCCCAAAGCATCAACCAATCAAATTGCTTATCTCTGTTTACCCTAAGCAGAAAATGCCCATCTTTGAACTCCATCATAGCATTCATCTAATAAACACCTACACCGAGTTTGAACATTCTAGCTCAATTAGCAGGAGAGTTATTGTGTTCCAAAGTCCCGGCCAATAAAATTGCTTATCGCACTGCTTACCCTGAGTAGAAAATGCTCATTATCGAACTTAGTCAAGGTATTGATGTAATGAAACTATACACCAAGTTTCATCACTCTCACTTAATTAGAACTAAAGTTATCATGTCCCAAAGCATCAACCAATCAAAATGCTTATCTCGGCTTACCCTAAGCAGAAAATGCTCATCTTCGAACTCCATCAAGGCATTGACCTAATAAACACCTACACCAAGTTTGAACATTCTAGCTCAATTAGAAAGAGTTATTTTGTCCCAAATTGTGTGACGGACAGACAGACGGACGAACCCATTTTAATAGTACCCTGCTTTCTTCAAAAGTTATTGTTGAAATATTGTTTCAAACTAAAATAGTATTTTGATCAACTGGTGTAACTGAACTGCTGTTAATCTCTATTGTTCTTCTGTACTCATCAAACACTCATTGTTGTAAACAGAGAGGTGTTAAGGAAAGCAAACAAAGGATGTTGTTCAAATCACTTTATATCACTAAAGGTTAATCCATATGATTAAATACTCACGTAGTGAGCTTCCAGAACTTAAATCAGTTAATTCTGTTCATACATCAATTGACTTTGACTGCTTAAAGCGGTTACATATATTTAAAAAACCCAGAGGCAAAAGAGCTGGAAGTCAAAAACAAAAGTTTATATCTGTTATAACTGGCAACAGACCTTATCACCCGTATGACATTCCTGCAATTCCTGTCAACTCTAATAATCTTATACCTGTTAAACTTAATCACAAAAAGAAATTAAACAATCTTAAACTTGCCTTAATTAATGCCCGATTGGTCAGAAATAAGACACAACTCTTGGCTGAGTTTGTTATAGAACACTGTATTGACCTTCTTGCCATCACTGAAACTTGGCTAACAGAAAATGAATCCACTGTTATAAACGAACTGTGTGTAGATGGGTATCTATTCATTAATAAACCCCGAATATCATCTAGAGGTTGCGGAATAGGCTTGTTGTACAATGGTAATATTAAGTTGAATGTGGAGCATAATGATTTAACCCAAATACAGTCTTTTGAATATTGTTTGACAAAATCTACAGATTTGAGTGTTTTGGTGATTTATCACCCTCCACCTACTGCAACTAATAGATCTTCCAACAGACAGTTTTTATCAGAATTTGAATTGCTTATATCAAAAGTTGTTCTTCTGTCTGAATCCATACTTATCCTGGGTGATTTTAATTTGCACATTGACAAACCCAGTGATCTTATTGTTGCCCAATTCAATGACTTACTTTATTCCTATAATCTGGTTCAGCATGTGAATCAAGCTACACATGTAAAGGGACACATTCTTGATTTAATTGTCACAAGGAATGATGACCACCTGATTGACTCAGTGGATGTATTGCCCGATATTATTTCTGACCACCATCCTGTTTATGGAATAATCAATCGAAAGCCAGACGCTGAAACGAAATTACAAGTAACATCGCGAAAACTTAGAAACATAAATCTAGTGGACTTTTCTAGCAATCTGTTAGAATTTTTCAATAGTACACTGATTGGAGATCCAACTAAATCTGTTGAGGATTATGATACCTGCATTATCAGTGTATTGGACTGTCATGCGCCACTGAAAACTTGGAAGCTAAAATCCAATCGCCATTGTCCTTGGTACGATGATGCAATTCATAGTGAGCGCAAAAGTCATAGAAAATCCGAAAGAGTGTGGCGTAAAACCAAGTTAGAGTTTCATAATCAGATATACAGAGCAGTCTGCAAAGGTCATATCTATGATCAGATCTGCCAAGAATAGTAACTATAATAATAAATTATCATCTTCACAACCACGTGATTTATTTAAAATTGTTCAGTCACTTACATCCGATACAATCCAACGGCTTCCATCATCAATTGATGAACTTGGGCTTGCTGAGAGGTTTTGTTCTTTTTTCCAAACTAAAGAATCTGATATTAGGAAAGGACTAGATAGTCTGGTTGACTCCGATTCGGAGGTTGAGGAACCACTTCCGTCATTAGAGTGCAATCTAAATTTATTTGCTACTGTTTCTGAAGAACAGGTCAAGAAGATTATACTTGAGAGTAAATCTGCTGCATGTAATTCTGATCCTCTTCCAACCTGGCTTCTGAAAGAGGAGAAAATGTTGGAGGTTCTGCTTCCAATCATTACTGGCATTGTTAATGATTCTATAACCACCAGTACTAGGTGGAAAAGGTGATTTTGAGATTATGATTATACATTTGATTTTATAAGGTTTTTCAACACTTTGAAAAAGTCATTTTTGGTGTTTTTAGCGATGCCATATTTCATTTCGTATCGAAACTATCAAAAATGTAGATGTTAATTCATGAAATACAACTTTAAGGCTAATTATGTTTCGATTTTCACATTTGTGTAACAATTACTCCGATTTCCCCAGCAACTCCAAAATACATAGGGGTTTTCTCAAAAATTCCATTTTGTCAAAGTGATATTGTCCATGTTATATCTGAAATATTGAACCTGGTTGTTATGCATTTTAAAGTCGGTAGCTATCAAGTAAGATAAACCGGAAAAAAAATAGTAAAAATATCTAAATGCCTTCTCTCAAAAGCTGAATATATGTTCATTTTTGAACAATTTTCTGCGGCACACAATTGCCTATTTTTGGGGCGTTTTTGGGTCATTAGTAAAATAAGAAGGAATGGAGATACACAAGTGAAATTATGGGAATATGTCAAAAAGTTTGTGAATTTTTAAAATTACATATTTTTAATCCGCCATATATTATCAATTTTGGTTGTCATAGCAACCAAAATGGAAAAAATGCAATTTTTGACCATTTTCAACGCTGTTTACCATCACCCAAAAAGTGATCAATACATTTAAAAATAAGCATTTTAAAATATTTCAAACCCATATAATGTCAAATGATATGGATTGTATAAGTTTGAGCAAAATATTAAGGAGTTTGAGTGGTTACCATAGCAACCACTGTATATTTTTTTTTAAAAAGCATTATTTTTCAATAATTATGACATCAATATTGATAATTGTATTATCTAAAATCAGAAGCTATTGGGCAAGATTTTAAAAAATAAATAAAATCAAAATCTTTATAAATATGTCTTCTCTCAAGAGCTGAAAACATTCCGCGGTAGCAAATTGCCCATTTATTTGGCTGGTATTAAGACATACTGTAAATGAAATATGAAGGAATTGAAATCTTGAAGTGAATTTTGTTTACAAGTCCAGAATTTTGTGAATATTAAAAATTACATATCTTTACTCTTGTATATTTAACATATATTTTGTTGTCAGCAACCAAAACGAGAGAGAGATAGAAATGGGGTTTAACGTCCACTCAACACAAACTAGGTCATTTCGGGACTAACATATGGTTTAATTTTATTTACATAA